GGTGACCCTGTGAAAATGAGGGCCTACCTAGGTGATACTTAACAAGGACGCCCCCTAGATGTCACCATGATGAAACAGGAAGAGTCTACACTACCCAGCCTGTGCTGGCACCGTCACTGTGAAGCGAGATTCTTGTCTAGGGCATCAGTGATCACTGACCATAGTAAGATCTCGATCTAAAGCTGAGAGCATCACTAAGTAGTGAAGAAGAACGACCAGGAGAAAAAAGGAAGCCAAGAGACACCAGGTTCAACTGAAGCACCAACTCTCTCCACCTCCTGGAGAAGCAACTTGGTGAGAACCAATAAAGAGAAGTCTGCGCTGAAGGCCATGCCCTGTGAATCCACAGCATGATGGCTGTCAAAAAATAGAAGACCTCAAAAATGTAAAAAAAAAAGGTTTTAATTAAGTAAATAAAACGCCCACCTTTCCCTGGTCCATTTAGGACGTGCACTATTGATGACCTGCATCAGAAAGTCTACTCTAGTGGACGAGAGAGAAAACTGGTTATAGACAGCTTATAATATTCCATGGAAAATTTCCCAGGATAATACGATGAACTGCTTAAACTCAAGACCTGAAACGTAAAACTTCATGCAGTAACACCAACCTGTTCTTTAGAAATCCCAAATATGGAAGGAAGGCCTTCGAAAGACCAACCCTCCCCTCCCACAGTTTACCTGTCTACACATTGTAACTTCAGAAGTGACTCTAGTGGCACAGCTTACATTCCTGAATACACTTGCCCAGGAAGGCCCTGTTCCTTCAAGGCCCAAAGAAAGAACTTGGGAATGTCACATCAGCTGCTCCACAGGAAGCACTGATGGGGAGTTCCTTCAACTGGAGGATGTTCAACTTCCTCAAAATCTGTTCTGGCTGCCCCCACAATCCCATACAGTTAGCCATGAGAGTTTCCCATCCTAACCAAGCCTTCACACTGAGAGGCAATGAAAGGCCTCCCCCCAGTTCTCAGCTCTGCCACGCCTGCTTTCCCACTGTGAGACACCTGCTGCTCTAACCCTCAGCTATTTCTCAGAACACACATTGTGAGGATGGAGTGAACTAAAGCCCTCTTACAAACACCAACAGCCTCGGCCTACAGCTAACTTAAGAGCTGTGTGGATTCGGCATGTAACAACTGTCTGTGGTCAGCAGTCTGTAGAGTTTGATAGATCTGTTAGCTGCCTCCTGGTCATTTCACATCCCGAACCTTAGAAGTGACACTACCAGTATCCATGTACCTGGCCTAAGCACACTTGTTTCTGAGATCCATCAGGACTCTCTGGTCTCCATCCCTGTTTGAGTGAGAAACTGGAGGGCCCAACACGTGGACTGCACATCTTCTGCAGTCTCCCTTCCTTTCCTGGTACCTATGCATCATTCCCCTGTGCTCACCATGAACTTCCCTAGAACTTCCCTAGTGCTTCGGGGCTACCCACCATGCCTCTTAAAGCACCTCTTCTCTCCCTGACTTCTTTCCACAAACATCGTCCCATCCACCGAGAAAGGAAAGGTCTTCCTTCTTCCTCTTTGTATGGAGAATAAATGTATATAATAGATTTTGATCATGTTTTCCCCTCCCCCACTCCTCTCAGGTCTTCCCCACCTCTCTACCCTCCCAACTCCCCACCCTCCCCACCTGCCCTGGGGTATGATTGAGATACCCAATGACACTATTTTGGAAAAAACTGGTCTTCCCTTTGCAAGTAGGTATCAGGTGCTGATAGTTTCTTGGGATAGGAGCATTGCCCACTTCCCCCTGAGTGCTGGGGACCCCTCTGGCCTTAGCTATGCAGGCTCTGAGCATGCTCTCTCCGTCTCTAATGGGTACTTGTGTGTATCAGTCCTATGATGAGTCATCTATCACCTCTGGCTCTCCCTGTCTCTGCACCTCCGCCCCTTCATGGCTGCCTGGGCCTTCAGTGGAAGTCTTCCTGTCAGAACCCCCTTCCATTTCCCAACAGCAACTTCCACCAGTGTTCCTCGCCCTTTCACAACAGAAAGTCTGGTTCGTGCTAGGTTCTTTGGCTGAATTCTGTGTGCATCTCAACTGTTACTCTAGAGTACCTCTGAGGACACTTTCTAAGCAACCCCTCCTCTCTCAGCCCCCAGGATCCTCTGTAACTTGGCTACTCCTTACATCCCTAGCTCTTTTCAAACACGGACACTCCTTCACCATGGGCGCCCTGGTCCCATCTCCCCTAGCCTCATCAATTCCCATGGAGGGCGCCACAATACCCTTCTCAGGCGGGATTGCCCCTTCCAGTACCTTCCAGGCCACTTGCTCTTGAGCTACATACAGGTTAATGCTACTGCAGACTTTCCAGTGGCGAGCTTGGTGTGGTGACACACATGTAACGCCAAAACAAAGACAGGAGTAAGGTGGGTTCCAGGTTGGCGGGACTCCGCCGGAAATGCTACTTCAAAGAAAACCAATAACCAAAACAACAACAAAGCCACGTCAGGTAGCTTCCCAGAGTCCATGAATAAAGAGGAACACCAAAGGCCACAAGGCTCACTTCCCAACCAGGCAGTTTACGGTCTGGGATTTCTAATTTCTGTGTTCTGTTTCTAGAATGCTGAGTCAGGAAGTACTTCTGCATGCCTTCTGACTAGAATACCCTGCCCTAACCAGCCCTAACCCCTGTCCACTTGACTGACTCCCCAGGCATCTTAACTTCTGAGTTAGACACTCATGTCCACCTTAGAGCTTCCCCTACAGTCTCTGCGTCCACTCAGGCCCTCCATGCTAATGAGGCTTTCATGGCTATCTACTGAATGCAACCCATACGTGCCTCCCAGGTGGGTCTTGGGCTGCAGTGGGCCCTCGTCCTCTGTCAAGTACTACTCCAGCAGTTTTAAGCCCTGCAGGTAAGAAGCACTTTTTCACATGCTAATTCTCTGGAGCATACAGAGTCTTGTCTGGGCAGAAGTCTCAGGGTCCTGAACAATAGAAGTGTCACCCTAACCAGAACATTATAAAGGTTACAGAATGGCAAGTGGGATGTGAGGTACCCCTTCACTTCCTGCATTAACTTCTAAAGGTGTTTTTAAACTGGCTCTTTAACATAGCAACACTTAAGAGTTTCGATGGACCAAATATTAACCAGCCTCCAGCAGGCGGCTGACTTAAAAATAGCCCTTGACCTGGAAATAAAGGTGTGTTCAAATACACACCCTGATAAGAAGGGGCACAGGGAGGATGCAGCTCACCATCTGAAAGCTCTGAAAGTCAAGGGCTCCTTGAGAAGGGACTCTAGAACCACAGGGATATTTCAGCACAATTTGAACACGCTCACCCTCGTCTAAGAAACATTGACAAAATCAGTTGCAGATGCACACACTGCATCTGGAAAAGCCACATCCACTGAAATATGTATCAACAACTCAATGACAGCCGGCAGCTCAGCATTTATAAATAAACAAACAAGCCAAGCCCAACCGGGTGGGTAAGCAAGTCACTAAGGGATCAGTCTAATGAGTCAAGACACCACAGAAGCAGGTCCTATTTTAAATACATTCTGGCGCTTAAAAATAAAACAATACACTCAAAAGCTACTTTATGTGTCATTTCCCTGTTTCCAGAACATGTTTTGTCTTAATAAAAGCTCGTTAGCTTCCTCCAGTTAAGGAAGTCGACATGAGGAGGCTGGTATTTCCTTGATTCTAAAGGATACCAGTGCTAAAACAAAATCCCAACCTAATTAATTCTATTTTGGGTCTGGTTTCCAAGGCACTTTTCACGGAGCTACACTCAGCCCATGGCTTTCAGTTTTCAACCTCCCACAGCTGGAAAGCAAGCGTATTCTGTCACTCCTTGGCACGTATGTTTCCTAGACTCTCATCTTACCTTCCATCCATCAAGAATAGGGAAGAACCTGTGGTCCTAAAATCACCTATTTATCGCTAACCATATTGTTGTGGCACAGATTTCTAACTGAAGCTCCATCAAGCTCATCAGTGTAAGTTTGGGAAGGAACTTCGCCTCAATCGAACTGCCAGAGAGCGTCAGAACAGCACAAAGCAAAAGACAGAAAATAGAGAAGTTAGGTTCCACAGCAAAAGGCAGAGAACTTGACCTTGGGCCACTAAAGTCCATTTGGCTAGTCTGTCTTTTGTTTGTTTGTTTGTTTGTTTGTTTGAGACCTGGGCCAACCTTGATCTTACTACAAAGCTGAGAATGAACTTGACAGTCCTCGCCTCCACCTACCCCCAGTGCTGAGATGATGCTATCTTCACAAACACAAAAAAAGAAATTCCAAGAATGATTGAAAAATTTTGAGTTTCTCAAGTGAAGTCGAATTCTGTAAACAAACTTGTATAGCAAATCTATTCTCTGGCCCAATTTCACAATCTACCTAGCTCATGCGACCATAAGACATTTTTTTTTCTCCAAAGTTCTTACTGACACCGGTGTATCGGGAAACACATCTAAACTCTTGACTCTTTCAACTATAATAGTGATCGCGCATATCTGCCTATTTTAAAATATGAAGCAAAGTTCATCCGTTTTAAAGCACAGGGCGCGCGGGGGGGGGCAGTTTAAAAGTCTGGAATTAGCCTGATCGGTTAAAAGAAATCCACCGGACAACTGCCTCGTTTGCGGTGCACTGACATGTTCCCGATATATGACAGCCTCAACCAGAAAAAAAAGAACCGAGAAACGAAAGCGCAGCTTGGAAGAGCTCCAGAAGCCTGTCTGAGCCAGGCTCCAATGACAGGCTAGGACCCAAGGTGCCCGTCTTAAGTTTACTCCCAACTTTGTCGCCCTACCGAGGAAAGGCGAGAGAGGTGGCAGCCACTAGACAGCCAGCGCACCTGCGGGAACGGGTTCCATCCTGACCCCAGAGCGAGGAAGGGAATCGGGGAAAGAAGCTAGAGTGCAGTCCGGTTCTGGAGCCGCAGCCCTGGCCGCGCACGCCCCGGGGCGAGGGACGCACAGGACCCCCCGCGACACGCCCGCTCCAGGGACGCGGCCCGGCCCCGCCGCACTCACTCACTTTGTCGCTGGTGCTCTCGGTTTCGTGGTCGCCGCCGGCCGCCTCTCCCTCGCGAGGTGGCGGCGGCCCCGCTCCCCCGGGGCCGGGGCAGCCCCCGCGGTGCCGCAGCTCCAGCATGTCCCGCTCCCGCGTCGCTGGGCTGGCGTCGACTAGCGCCCCGCCACCGCGGAGCCGCGCCGGGTCACCCCCAGAACGGCATCAACGAGCGAGCGCTCGAGGCCGCCGGCAGGGGGTGCGGACCCGCGCGGGCGGGGACGCGGCGCCGTTGCCAGGTGCGCGGTTCGACGCACTGGCCCCAGGGGGCGGAGGAGCAGCCCGGCCCTCCCTCGCGCCTGGCGACCGCGCCACCCAGGCCCGCCCGCCTGCCCCACCTTCCCGCCGCCGAGCTCCCGCAGCACAGTCACGCGCCGCTGGCCCCGCCCCGCCCGCCCCTCAGCGCTGCACTGCGGTGCCCGAGGCTCCGCCCCGGCTGAGGACGTCAACGCTCGGTCCCCGCCCCGGCTCCTTGCGCAGGTGGGGGCTAGGAAAGGTGCGCGCCGGGCTGAGGACGCGGGAGGAGCCAGGGGTTGGAGGACGCGAGGGCCAGCCTTGTCGCTGCCGGGAAATCCTCCTCGGCGCGCAGGGATGTCAGGCGGAGTTCAACCGACTCCTCCAAGGGACTCGGCCCAGCTTGTCACGCCGCAGCGTGGCGGAGCGTCGCAGGCGTCCCCAAGCAGAAACTTGCTGGGCAGGACAGACCCGTTGGCTCTGAGTTCCAGCCAGTGCTTAACCTCCTTGGTGCCTGGGGATGAGTTGGCCAACAGTTTCAATCTCGTACCCAGGTTCTGTACTGGGGAATCTCACACACTGTTCTACAGTGGTGTCCACAGAGAGCAGCTGCTGAGCACCGTTCTTAAAGACAAGGACCTTGGGACGCTAAAGGTGGAACAGGATGGACACTTGATCTGCATTAATTCTAGTCTAATCTTGTTAGCAGGTGCTTAGTTTTCTTCACAGATATTCGCGAGCTGGTCCTTAAAGGTCCTTAAAGGATACACACCCATAATTCACACAAACCAGACAGAGTACCTTTATTATAATAAATCAGCAATTTATCAGGTCATTACTAAAAATAAATAATATATTGTTCTTAAATCCTAATAATTAGCCAGCAAAAACAAACGTCAGAGTAGGATGCAATGAAAAACAGCACACTCAGGTAGAGACACTTGGCAACCAGCCTGATGACCGGAATTCAATCCCCAGGTCCTACATACATGATGGACATAGAGAATTGCCTCTAGAAAACTGTCCTCTGATCTCCACGCCTACACCCACACATATAAATAGATAAATATCATTTAAAACTAATGGAAGATATGAGATGGACATGATGTGGTTTTTCCATAAGGAACAGAAGACTGCAAGTAATTAGGTCAATTGATCTACATTTTTTTGGAGGGCCAGAGAAAAAGTACTTCCGGATAGAAAGATAAAATGGCCGCGGAGAGGACCACAGAGGCTGGAATGGGTTGGCTCTGACTGTTGATTCTACCCAGAGAAAAGAGGACCAGAGTTTCTTTTAACTTTCTTCCAGGAAGTTGAGGTGGTGGAAATTATCTCCGTGGCCTCTAGTAAGTGGGTAAGCCTATGTCCCCATCTGTAAAAGGAATAGTAAGGAGGTTGGCCTCCATTTTAGCTGTTACAGTGTCAGACTCTCGTCCTTTCCTACACGGGCACAGGGAGGTACCTCAGCGCTTCTCTCTGCCTTCCACAGACAACCTCTAGTTTCTCTTCTCCTTTTGCTGTGGGAGAGGAGGAAAGCCTGCTGAGAGAGGCAAAGGGGAACAAGAGAAGTCAGTGCGAGTAACAGAAGTAGTGTTCCTCCACCCAGGAGGAGGAACAGGACAGAGCCATCACCATGCTACCACCCTTCCTAAAGCTCACTACTCCCTGTAGTTCAAGATGGTGATTCATTTCTGTCTTCATTATAGTTATTGACTCTTGCTGAATGATCGATGGGACCATAGACTTGCCACAGAGCCAGCCCCATCCCTCAGACAGTCAGCAGTGTTTGCTGAAGAAGTGAATGAAGAAATAAATGGATAGAGATCTATAGCCTGATAGGGAATTATTTGGCATTTATGTTTTGTGTTTTGTTTTGACTTACATGATACAATGGCTATTCTTGATTGTCAACTTGACTACATCTAGAATTAATTAAAACCCTGTGAGGGATTTTTTTTCTCTATTGGATCATTTGAAGTAGGAAGACCCACCTGAAATCTGGTTCACACATTCTAGTAGCAGCCTCTGTAAAGAACATGGGCAGGGCAGTGGTGGAACACGCCTTTAATCCCAGCACTTGAGAGGCAGAGGCAGGTGGATTTCTGAGTTCGAGGCCAGTCTGGTCTACAGAGTGAGTTCAAGGACAGCCAGGGCTATACAGAGAAAACCTGTCTTGAAAAACAAAAAACAAAACAAACAAAAAAAAATGGAAAAAATGAGCTGTTTGCTTGCTTACTCTTACCCTCCATGGCAAGTTCGTTTCTTCACTGTATCAGAACCTGTTTCTTTGGAATTCCTGGGTATACTGGAGACCAGCTAAGACTTCCAGCCTTACGGCCTGAAAGACTTTTGTATGGGTGGACTCTCTATCAGGAGACAGTCATTGTTGGAATATTCAGAATGCAACCTATAAGCCAACTCTAGTAAATCTCATTTAAATAGATAGATGATATATAGATTGATGATAGATAGATGGATGGATAGACAGATAGATAGGTAGATAGATAATAGATAGATTCATGCTGTGTCTCTAAAAGAACTCTGGCTAATACACATGGGTATCCATCCAATTTTCTTCATTTTTCACTTTACCTGTAAAAACAGATTAAGTTTAACTGAAAGAAAGTACTGAAAGAAGTTCTAGTAATGATTTTATATTTTACTTAAAATGCATTTGCCGTCACCAGCTTCATTGCACCTTATGTTTGCAGACTTTTCTCCATGTCTTCCCTCCCCACCCCCACCCCCATTTTCTTACCATCTTTCAGTTTCCTTCACATATTACATCCGTGGTCAATGGCACAAATCTGAAATATAATTCCCAAGCCTTGCCTGTCAGTCTTGCTACAGTTTGACCTGGCAGAGGGCTCCAGGAATCCCTGAGGACATGGGAGACACTGGGCCAAGACACACTTCTTGGCTAGTTTGAAGAGTTTCCATTAGGGTGGGCTTGGGATTTCTTAGCTCTTAGCAAGGGATTTGCTAGGGAGCATGGAAAGAAGAAATGATGTTATTACTTATATGGTATCTATCTTAGTTTGAAATTTATATGGTATATATCTTAGTGTGTTATTTATATGGTATCTACCTTTGTTATTTATATGGTATGTATCTTAGTTTGTTATATGGTATCTACCTTAGTTTTTTTTTATTTATCTGGTATCTTAGTTTGTTATCTGGTATCTATCTTAGTTTGTTATCTATCTGGTGTCTATTTTAGTTTATTATTTATATGCTATCTATCTTAGTGCCATCATTCACAATAACAGGAGCAGGAGAGGCAGACACCTGCTACTCCTCCTTCAGACCTGACTCCCAAGGTTTCCTGACTGAGTCAAGTCCCTCTCTTAGGTAGGAATTTGAACTTCTTTCCACAGGAAAGGTCCTGAGGTTCTCTGCTGTACCATCCCCAGCTTGCCAAGGGAAGAAAAACTCTGCTTTGCCAAGTACTTCTGGTTGCCTGGATACCCTTCCTATAGTTTCTGTGGCTCGACCTAGCTTCCCCCGCTGCCCCTTTCAGCTCTCTCTAGAAGTTGGACATAAGTATTTCTGATTTAAAAGAGAAGGAGGTGAACACGGGCAGCAGGAGGGAGGTTAAATAACAATGTAGGTGGCTAAAAAAAAACACAGGAAATCATGATTAACTGTTCACCAAAAAAAGAAAAGAAACATGATGCAGTCAGTATATAAATATGTATATATAGTTTTAATGAACTTTTCTCATCTAGGCTGACAGTGATCCCTTTGAAAAAGAATGGACCCCATAAGCTCATAAATTTGAATGCTTGCTCACTGGGGAGGGGCACTACTTGAAAGGGTTAGGCAGTGTGGTCTTCTGGTTGGAAGAAGTGCGTCACTGGGCTTTGAGGTTTCAAGTGCCCATGCCAGGCCCAGTGGCTCTCTCCTCTTCCTGCTGCCTGCTGTTCCACCTGTAGTCCTCTTAGCTACTTGCTCCAGCACCATGTCTGCCTACATGCCACCATACTTTCCATCATGATGATAATTGATTGAATGGCAAGCAAACCCCAACTCAATTCTTTCTCTTATAAGAGTTGCCATGGTCATGGCATCTCTTCACGGCAGTAGGATACTAAGACAGACCACTGAAGAAAACCCCAATATCTGACAGGAGAAGCCCTCTTTTGAGTTGTTGGCCAGGGCTGTCTAAGAGACCCCCAAACTATACATAGTCCATCACTTTTGCCCTAGGTTACCCCCTAGAGGTGGAAGAGAAGTCCCTATTGCTCAAGATACCATGTACTTCAGAAAGAGGGCCCAGAGTCCCCCTAACTAGAACTAAGCTGAGTGGTTCCTCCCTGAGAACTAGGCATCAAAATGCACCATTTAAGCCTCTAAAGAAGAAAGACAAACAACGGTCCTACCCTGCTATGATACCTATGAACTACATCAATAACCACCCGGCCAGTACAGTAGTGGCACACATAACTTGGCAGTAACCAACTGCCGTCTATTTGGATTTAAGATCTGCACAACAAGAGAGATTCCATGCCTGGTGCTGAAAACCTACCTCATTAATCAGTGCTAGTGAAATCATGGTTATTAGAGGAGAGTCTACAACCACTGATTAATTAAACCAGCATAATCCTTAACAATAACCTACAAACACGTGTCTTTATACCCACGTATAAGTGTTGTCTTCACTCTTCATCAAGAATATGTCTCTTTGCAACTGAACAAGACCACTACAGGAAAACACAACCAGTCAGGAATGGAGAATCTTAGAGCCCAATCACAATGGACACATCTACAAAACACTTCCACACTTGATGCTCAGGGACATGGTGGAAGAGGAATAGGAAGACAATAAGAGCCAGAGCTCAGGAAGTTTCCTGTGAGATGGTGTCTCCTAGTAACGCCAGAAGCTACATCCATAAAGTTTCAC